AAAATAATAATAACATTTAACCATTGTACTAATAGAAATATAGAAAACAGTAAAAAAAAGAAATGATAATTAAAAATTAAGAAATACACCTAATTCGACTTTTAAAATTAAAAATACTGATACTGTTCCTAACTTCATCGGGTAAAGTGTTCCATTCATTAACGGCATTGTAAATAAAACGCTTTTGTCCCCAGGAGCGACGGGATGGAGGCTTACAAATGTTGTCTTTACTTCTCGTATTATACCCATGAATATCTTTAAAACTTCTTTAACCGGAGGAAAAGCGGGGGAACAATGTGACGAGTTCAAAGCACGGGATAACATATACGCGCAATGATAAGTGAAAATCGCTGGAAAACATGTAGCCAGTGGAAAGGGTGGAAAAAGAATAACCAATGGAAAACGTGGAAAATATCTAACCAGTGGAAAGGGCAGGAAAACATACAATAAGCCACTATTTCTCGATTGGTTAACTTGGTTTCTTGCACCTAATATAATTGTCTGAAATGAGAGCCCCTTCGCCCGGATTAGCCGGCATGCTAAACTCTTTTCTTCTTGTATTAAAAACGAGTTGATGCTTCGTCAAAGGAAAACTAAAGCTATTGTCATTACTATGCGGTGGAAGTCAAAGTTAACCATCTTCGTATATGTAAAACTAGCGTTTTTTTTGTAAGCAATTGGGTTGGATTTCGGGCCAGGAGCCTAGAGAAATGCTTTATTTAAGAAATCTGCATGCGAGTTTCTCTTCGAGTTTTTAATATAGTTTCTGTTTTTTTCTCTTCAATCGTAGCGGCTGTGTTTTTGCTATACTTTTTCCTCTTTTCATCATCAGTGGAAATCAAGCAAAAGTTGTAGAGACAAAGTAAGTCATCATTGTAAGTTTTAAAGTGCATCAGATATTTACATTAGCTCATGGTGCGTGGAGTATCGGATCGCTTTGCTGTTCGCCGCTCGCGCGTGTGACCCAAATGTGAGCCTGCTCGCAGGCTAAAATGATCGATGATAGTTGCGTTTCTAAATTTCTCCAGCGTATTGTGGACAGAAAACATTTGATGCGTTTTCAGAGTTAAAAAGGTCCGTTTTAAAATTTGTCCGGCGAAGTGTACACGGAGCTTTAGGGACATTTCGCAAAACACGACGGCAACGGCAACGAGAACCTCGCCAAACAAAAGGTTTAATGAGCAGAACAATGGATGTTAACGTGTATTGTGGTGCATGTGTGTACATTTCGTAGCCGTCCTTTGCACATCAGCAACGTGAAATGAGCAATGTGCAAGTGTTTACCCACAGGGAGCACACGATCTTGTTGGGTGGGAAGAGAGTTATAAAGGAATGAAAAGAATATACAATTTACCTTTGTCTACTGTTGTCATTTCTTACCCGACAACCGCTACCTACAAGTCCTGCGTATTAAACACTGTAGCGCTAAACTCGTACCTAGGCATTTTCGC